TCTTGTTATACATAAAATAGCCAATCAGATTTGAGTATAAATCTCAAAATTTGGCACTTTTAAAAAAAATTGGATGTTTTTTGTTGTCCGGTACTGTACAAACTGGAAGCTTAACTCATCCAAAACTATCATATTAGTTAAGTCTTTCCGGGTTGAATCTTTCGAATATAGCCTTTTTCTTGTTTGAGTATCAAATCTTAATTGAGTTTGACTATTTGGTAAATTTGGATCTGAACCGCCATCATTAAATAATGATCTTTGATACTTATAGCAAGAATTTAGATGACACTGAAGATGTGATGTCACACTTCTCTTTTTATGACTTAACAACTTATTACAGTATTTGCATTTAGCTTTTTGTTTATCCTGTACTACAGAAAAACTATTCTATACACGAGATGTATGCTTTGGTAATGCAATTTGGCTGGAAGTTTTACTGTTAGTTTGGCTAATGACATTGGTAGTTGTGCTATTTGTCAAGCTAGTATTAAATCAGTAACGGATGATACTAGTACAGAAGATGTTGAAGTAGAGTTATTAGAAATTAATATATCATCAATATTATGATCATCGATATTGTGATTTTCCAAAGAGTTATCTATGTTAGTAGGTTCATTATAATTATCTGTTGAGTCATTCATATTAGCAGTCTTATTGTGACTATTCATAGGATCACTCATATTGACAAAAGCAGGATTGTTCATATTGATGTTTGGTAAATATTAGTATTAGTGAATTTTTACTTCTAGTAGTTTTAAAGCATACTAGTAAACTTCTAATCTGATATATCAAGTTTTTTGACAGCTTCACACTTTCTTATTAATTGGTAAGTATGCGATAGTATATACTTTACTATGTTGGCAGTTTAGTGCAATAGTGGGTATATCTACAACTAAAAATAATATCTCGGACCACAGTACGAATAGAGGGTCGGTCTCAGGTTACAGTAAGAATTCCGAAGTTGGCAGTAGTTTTGGAAGTATAACTATGGGCAAAGTAAGTATTGGAATACCAAT